AAACTGGTTGATCCACTCTAAGAAGGTGCTATTTAAGAGACTGAGCTGAATACAGCACCTCAGACTGAGGAAGTCTCTCGGACGAGAGACGAAACGTTTCTACATTTTTTGTTGATTTGCTTTGTTTTGTTTTTTTGAATGTCCAGAGGACCAGATTTAACTTTTTTAGAGTTGAAAAGGATGTGCCGTGGATGCATTCCCATCTATCTGGAGGCGGTGCTCGAGTGCCTGACCACCGAGATCTTGGAGGTGGTGGGTAACGTGGCTTGTGACAATGGGAGGACCGAGATCGGCCCACGGTATCTGCAATTAGGTCCACGGCAACAAGGGCCTCGGCAGGCTGCTGGGAAAAATGGCCAACGCTCGAGGAGGAGTTCTGCCCGGCATTCATGCTGTCCTGCTACCCAAGAGGACAAAGAGGTCTGCATGGATGGATCGGCATCTTGAGTCAGTTTATTCAGAAATGCTGACGGACGGAGATCCTTCCTGCCCAAAGCCATCAGCATCTATAACAACTCTTTAATAAAATCAGGATGATGACCTACAGCAACAATTAATTACCCTTTGGGATTTATAAAGTCTTTTTGAATTGAAATGAATTTAATAAAGAGGATTAATTATTAGCATGAACAAACTGGAATTTATCAGATAATTATGATTTGAACCAATTTAGAACCTTTCCTGTAATCGCAATAAAGCCTTTGTAAAAGGTTGGGTTCAGTACTTAGATCTAACAGGACCAGTATAGACACTAGTCCATTGTCTGAGGCCATGAGGATATCATTAGTAACTTTCATTAGTGTTGTTTTTGTTCTATGATCAGATCTAATCCCTGATTGAAACTCCTGATATTATATTTTTTATCTTGATGTTCACAAAATTGACTTACAACTATTTTCTCAAGAACTTTTTAGATGAATGGGAAATTAAAAATAAGTGAAAGTACTGAAATACTGAAATACTAAAAATACTGAATACTGAAAGCAAAGGTTCAAATACTTTTACCACTCACAAATATGTAATATTGGATCATTTTGATATTTCACATCTTGTGCAGATGGAAGGTTTTTCCAAATCCCCCTTTTTATGGGTGGGGGGGACATGAACCAGGCAGGTTGGTGTGAAAAATTTGTTTCCTAAAGTTGAATCAGGGACACTGACCCATATCTAGACCGATACACTTGATTTGAATTCATGCATCATTATAAGAGTTGCAAAAGTCCAGGAAGTCTTAATTTTGAAAACTTTTTTATAGAAATTAAGAATTTATAAGAAAAAGGAATCAAACTAACAGCAGGATGATGCAACTGGTAGAGCTGCTGCCTCTCAGCAAGCAGGTCCACGGTTCAAATCCCGGTCCGAGGGCCTTTCTATGTGGAGTTTGCATGCTCTCTCCATGCGTGCATGGGTTTTCTTTGGGTACTCCAGTTTCCTCCCACACACCAAAAACATGCATGTTAGACTGATTGGTAACTCTAAATTGTCTCTAGGTGTGAGTGAGAGAGTGAATGGTTGTTTGTCTTGTTTGTCTCTATGTGTCCCTGTGATGGACTGGAGACCCGTCCAGGGTGTCCCCCACCTCTCGCACAGTGATGGCTGGACATGGGCACCAGTGACCACCGTGACCCAAAAAGGGAAAAGCGGGTAAAGATAATGGATGGATGGAATCAAACTACAATTTAAATATTGGAAATTAGTCCTTAACATGGATATTAATTTCAAGAAAATAGAATGTTTATACACATAAATGTGCACTTTATATTTTTTTTGCGACATGGAATTTACTATTTCTTTTTTACGTCAGTTCAGTAAAACATTGTTAAATTATTATGTAACTATTGTTTTTGTTTAGAGTTGCCTTCATGGATTTAGGAAAGGACAATAATAGAATGAGAATACTGTAATAATTTTCAAAATACATTGTTCTCTAAAAGAAGTTTGATTGTGACACAGTAAAGTCATTATAATCAAATTAGGTAAATTTGTTACTTTACAAAACAAAATGTTTATAATGTATTTTGTTTGGGCATAATATGATTACTGCCAGTTAATTCCAAATAATTTTCCATAATTTCAAGGTAACTTTTTTGTCATTTGCATGTGTTGCATTACAGGTGGAACGAAATTGTGTTTTTAAGGTCTCGGTTACACCCTAAAAAGCAATATATATAATGTTTAAATTAAAAAAAGAAACGCTAAAGATGTAATATATACTCCACAACGATAATAAAATAAAATGGTGTATTAAACAGCAGCCTGAATTCATTCAACCTTTATTTTTACAGGTTAGTCTCATTGAGTCATGAGGACTCATTTACAAGAGAGACCTGTAACAGGAGTCTGTTGTGAGCAGATGGTTATGAATACAGCAGCACAGATAAAGTGTAAAATCTCCAATTAAAGTGGCATTACAGTGATAATCCTGGTTAGATATTCAGTCTAACTGCTTCAGGGTAGAAGCTCAGTCTAGTGGTTCTACACTTAATGCTCCTCAACCTTCTGCCGGAGGGGAGAAGGGCGAAAAGTGTATTTGCTGGGTGAGTGGGGTCCTTCGTGATGCAGGTGGCCCTCTTCCTGCATGTGGAGGTGTAAATGTCTGTGATGGCGGTGAGGCTGACTCCAACAGACTTCTGTGCAGCCTTCACCACTCTCTGCAAAGCTTTTCTTTCTGCAGCTGTGCAGCCTCCATGCCACATGTTGATGCTGGAGCACAGGATGCTCTCCACTGCACACCTGTAGAAGGAGGTGAGGACTGAGCTTCCCAGACCAGCTCGCCTCAGCCGTCTGAGGAAGTAGTCTCTGATGAGCTTTCTTGATCAGGCTGGTGGTGTTGTTGCCCCAGCTGAGGTTGTCATTCAGGTGCACACTCAAGTACTTGTAGCTGGAGACCACTTCCAAATAAAACTTACAGTTCTGAATACTATAATAAAAAAAATAATAAAAATCTCATTCTTAACGTTTATGGAAAGTTTCTGGAAATGTTTAGCACCTTTACCACCCTTGTCATTACAGCATCAAAAAACTGTTTAGTTAAATTACCTCAATAGACTGGTGGGGTCAGGGATGTTAGCATGGGGACAAACAGTGGGCCCTAAAGAGCAGGACAGGAGGACATCAGTCCCATCAGTCAGACATATCCTAAAGAATCTTCATCAAAAGTTCTTTATGCTTTCTGAGTGTCATCAAAGTTGATTCTTTTTTACTCCTAACAGCCTACTTCTGCTTCCTGACTGTTTCCCGATAAATATACTTTTTGTTTGTTTCTTTGTGGGGCCTTTTTTTTTTTTTAAATTCTAATAAAACTAGCATTCTTTGAAGAAATACATATTACTTGTCTGGCAGGCCAGAATTTTAAACATTACCAGAGATAAAACAATTTTACATTAGCTATAATTGGTTAGATAGGGACATTATAAAATATGCTGATTCCTGTTCATCTAACAATAATTTGAGTTTCAATAAAATCAATCTGAGGGGAAAAAAAGAACGCCTTTTGCTTTACGTGTTCCAATCATTACTGTGAAATTTTATGTTAAACGTGTGAGGGTTTTTTAGAGTGGGGCAGAGTTGTAACTCTGGCACTGATCAGTGATGAAGATGTTTATCCCTTCTGAGTTCAGATGTTACATCACGTTGACTCAGTCCCTCCATCTGACCATGAGTGGAGCTCCAGCTGGACCCGCGGGCACCGGGAAGACCGAGACCACCAAAGATCTGGGGCGAGCTCTTGGTGTCATGGTGTACGTCTTTAACTGCTCTGAACAGATGGACTACAAGGTGAGCAAGCACAAAAACACAGGAAGTTTTGGATTTGAGTTTGTGCACATATTGTAGCAAAGGTTGCATTCAAAGCAGTGCATGGTGTGTGCATTCCTTTTCATCTCAGCTTTTTTCAGCATTAAATTCATCAATCTACCGTATTTTCCAGACTATAAGTCGCTACGGAGTATAGGTCGCATCAGTCAAAAAATGCCTCATGAAGAGGGAATAAATAAATAAATAAGTTGCTCAGGAGTACGTCACATTTATTTAGACGTGTATTTCACAAAGTGCAAGAACAGACATTTAATCTGAAATAACAATAACACACAGAACATACCTGGGATCCTGAACAGGCTTAATCCACATAACAAGGCAACGAGTCCAACAAGCAAGTTAGCAGTAAACTCATCAGTCTCCTTCAACATCACTGAATCTCTTGAATCATTTTTCACCACTTTTTATTGTCTGTCCATACAGGTCTCACTTGCAAATGAGTCTTCGAGGCTCAACATGACTTATCTGTTTAAATAGTGAATCGGCGTCACTTCTGAACAACTCCACCAATTCCGGAGGAAGATGAAGTGCAGTTTCCTCTTCTGCTGGGCTGTCGTCAGACTCCGCATCAGTTCCAGTAATTCTGAAATGAACTGTCGACCTTGACTTGAAAGTCCGCTGGCAGTTCTATTTCGTATAGGCTTCTCCCTTTAAGGCTATCGCTAGTGGGTTTATCCCTTCGCGCGCAGCACTGAAAACTTTAGTCCACGCCCACCTGCTGTGTGGGCCTCACCCCCGGTCCATATAAATTAGGATGAGACTGGGCAATTGGCTCCCATTTTTTCTTCAACAAGTAACTGGCACTGTTTTTCGAGAAGATGTCCAGCACCAGCACCATCCACCTGTGCCCGTCCTGCCAGACCGGCTACATTTTGAGCTTTGACCGGCACAACACCTGCGAAGGATGCCTGGGTCCCCGCCACGCCAACATTGCCTCCTCCTGCCATCCCTGTGACCTCCTCCCTCCTGAGGAGAAGCAGAGACGAGCAGCCTTGTTCAAGGCTAACTTCGAGGAGTGTTTTTCTGTGGCAGGGGATTGTTCTCTGGACGACGCTATCGCCTTTTTATACAATGAGTCACAAAGCGAATCAGATGATTCCTCCAGAAAAGGCGATGTCAGCAGCAGCCCCGCTGCTCGTTCGCTCCTGGAGAGCGTAGTGTTGGAACTGGGGGGCCGAGTGGATGCTCCCCTCCGGGCCTTTCCGCATTGGCAAACACACCGCTCCCAGCCATCGGTGCCCTACTCTCAGAGCTGCCTGGCATAATCCAGGAGGCGGCTGACACAAAGGGACTTTCCGTCCCTCTCCTTCCCTCGCCCAGATCGGATGATCTAGCGGGAAGGTTTGGCTCCACCCCAGCTCGCCGCCCTGACCCCATCTGGCCTCGTTTCCCAGCAGTGACGTCCTACTGGAACGAGGCTGCAACCGGACCTGGTAATCTGAAGGCGCCCATCTCCACCTTCACTCCCATCACCATAGTGGAGGGGTTTACTGAGCGGAGCTTTCCTTCAGTTCAGGTGCACGGAAAAAGGTGTAGAGGCCATCTCATGTCCACTAGGTGTCAGGCTGTCTTCTCTGCAGTAGCTGATGAACAGAAATCTAGCGTTCAACACAGTTAAGACTTATGCTGCAGCTATCTTGTCATGAGGGCTTTGGTGCCAGAACAGTTTTTAATCGTCCGTTGATGAAGCGTTTCCTTAAAGGTGTACAGAGACACAGACCGGTGTCACGCCCACTAGCTCCACAGTGGGACCTAACCATGGTTCTGCGAGCTCTGATCAAAGCTCCTTTCGAGCCTTTAGATCAGGTGTCACTTAAATTCCTGTCACTTAAAACAGCCCTGTTGTTGGCTTTGACATCAGCAAAGAATTTGAGTGATTTATCTGTGCTCTCTGTTGCCCCGTCATGCCTCAGGATTCAAGCTAATGGAAGCTCAGCTGTGCTGAGACCTAACCCAGTTTTCATACCAAAAAACATCACAAGCTCATTTAAATTGAGAATGATAACATGGAGGGGTTTTATCCTCCCCCTCAAAAATCAGAGGAGGAAGAATCATCTCATCTCCTCTCTCCCTTGCATATGCTGACATGTTATATAGCACACACGGCCCCTCTGCGCCAGACTCGTTGTCTGTTTGTGCATTATAGGGACATCTCTGCAGGTCACCCATTATCCACTCAGCGCCTCTCACACTGACTGTGTGAGGCTATTTCTGAAGCTTACAAAGCATCTGGATTGGAGCTCCCAGAGAATCTCAGAGCTCCTTCCATCAGAGGGATTTCATCTTCTACAGCTTTCCATGGAGGATGACAGTGGAGGACATTTGTACGGCGGCCGCTTGGTCATCGCCTTGTTCATTTATTCGCTTTTATCTGCGTGATGTTTCCGCTTTCTCCATGACCCATTCTGTTCTCAGTGTTCTAACAGAATGCTTTTTACTTGTTTCATGGAATTTGATTTTAAACTCACATCTGACTGCATGCAATTACAGTGTGAGACATTTATTATCAGTCACAAGTTTGTGACTGCTGTTTTTATTGTTACTAATCAGTTCATAACTACTGTTACCAATCAGTTCATTTGATTACTAATCAGTTCATATTGAAGAGCAGTTGACCTGCTCTGCTCATCGTTACAAGGTTACAATTTGTAACCTCTGTTCTTTTCCATTCTTGGCAGCAGGACTGCTTTTCAGCCTTCCCTTTTTTTCCCCGTCGGAGACCTTTTCTCTCCGGGGCGCTCCTGTACACGGAACGTAATTACACAGCGCGTAATTACGCACACAGAAGGCTGAGTTGATTAAATGTTTTTTGGCACAAGCGGACGCTTTATATTGTGTCTGAATGGACCCAGTGAGGCATAGACTACATCCTGCTTCGCCTTTAACCCACTAGCGATAGCCTTAAAGGGCAAAGTCTACACAAAATAGAATGTTGGTTACGTACTGTAGCCCCAGATTCTATGAGTATAGGCACAGCCCTTTAAGCTCTGGGCCTCACTGGTTCCTAAATGGCTGAAGAAAAAAGCTATTTGGAAGCCGATTGACCGATCTCAGGGATAAACCCACTAGCGATAGCCTTAAAAGGCTGCGCCTATACTCATAGAATCTGGGGTTACAGTACGTAACCAACGTTTCTGACACAGCGATGTCCGTGCTCTGATAGAGAGGTGGTTACGTTGCATAAAGCGATAACACCAAGAAGGTCCGCCAGCAAAGTCATTAACATTCATCTCCTTGGCAATGGCCATGGCGTGGAGACGTAAATGGACCATCGACAAGCCTCTCCTAGCAGCACGTTATTCCATCTGTGCACGCGTTCCTCCAGTTCTGGCCACCTTGCTTTCAGCCAGCGATTAACTTTCTTTGTTTTCTTCATATCAGTTAGAGTAATCTCTGCTTATTGTCAGTCCCTCACAAGTTTCTCACTCACTCCAAACTTTCCTTCTACTTCTCGATTACCATTTTCGGCTGCATAATTTATTACCTGCAGTTTGTAATCTGCAGAATAGGATTTTCTTTTGGGGGACATTATACTTGTGTTAAGTTTTTCTCAATTGTCTATAAGTGACTGTTTGGAGGGGTGGGTTGCGGTAGAGGAACAACATATAGTTGTCCAAAGCCCAGAGGGCCCTCTCGCGACTGCAAATAGTAATGTTTACTCTTTGGTTCATGTCAGTATGAATAAACATTTAATGCGTCAGTCAAAAATTGTGTCATGAATAGGAAAAAAACATAAATAAGTCACTTTGGATTATACGTCACAGGACTGGCCAAAATAGGAAAAAAGTGTGACTTATAGTCCGAAAAATACGGTACTTTTATGTTCTCTTCTCATCTTGTTTTCAATATTATGTTTGCTTTCCTCTTGGAAGAAGACACAAGTAAATGGACCTTGGTTGTTATTCCTTTGCCAACCCTTATCACATCCAGTTCACATCATTTTATCATACCCTTCCTCACTGTCTCCGCAGATAAAGTGTTTAGGAACAACCCGGTGTTGTGATCCAGTTTGTTCCTGCCTCCGTCGGACGGTGGTATTATTACAGTGAAGAGGCGTACAGCACCCTGGGCTATACATTGCTCAGCAAGGTGTCTGTGGAGAGCAGAGCTTATGTACTCCATGAGGAACACATGTTCTGAAGCTGGCTCTGAGCCTCTGACTGTTACTTAGTTTTAGTTATGTACACGTTAGTTCAGACCTATAGTCAACAGTGGTTTGAATCCTGAGGTTTCCACAACTTTGTAACCGAAGACAAAATGGGAGTGGAAGCATCTTAGTTCTCATTTTTCATATTTTTTCCACTATGACTGCCTGATTTTTTGTTTGTTTGTTTGTTTGTTTAGTTTGAGAGTCATCAACATTTTTCAGTCAGGTCATCTGGACGGTTTCTTTTTTAGTGCTGAAACGTTTCACCTTCAATTCGGAAGGCTTCATCAATCAAGGAAACACACAACACAAAACTGATTCTTCCCCCAACAGCTTACTCCAAAGTGGAACAAACCAGTTATGTTGGTGCTAAGAATGTCTCTTTGGCACGCCCCCTCCTCCTTTGCCGGCCCTCTTCCTTGTTGACAGTCATGTCAAACTGGTTGAAAACAAAAAAAGAAACTGTCCAGATGACCTAACTGAAAAATGTTGGATTGTGTACCTGGATTATTGCGCATGGACTTCACTCCAGTGTGGCAGCTCGACCTTGACCTCTTTAAGTTGCTTCAACATCTGCTAAGATCATGACAAAAACCAACACAGACATGTTCCTGTTTTTAGTATTTTATATCGCTTTATAATGTAGGTGTTTTTGTTTTGTTTCATTTTTTAATATCACTTCGTCCATTATTTTTATTTTATTTTATATGCTTTTTTTATGTGATTGTCTACTGTTGTCATCTGTGTTCTTTGTTAAAAACAGGTCTTTCTTGTAAAGGCGTCCTCGAGGTTCAACAAGACTAACGTGTATAAATAAAGGTTGACTTAATCTGAAATTATACCAGCTGTCTAGTTACAGATGTGTCTCTATTCAACTCTTCACAGGTCTTATCAGTCAGACAGACCAAGGGTTTGGTAAAAGAACAATGCTTAAGATGGTTCCTGATTTTAAAATATATATATAATTTAAGCATTGATTCTATCATGATTCTGTTTGTAATATAGCTGAAGCCACGTGCAGGCAGACAATGGGAGACTTCAGGTAAAAATAAGTAACTTAAATTTATTTTTCAAAGACAAAACAAAAATGCTGATGGGGCAGAAAAACTTACTTTTCAGGAGATCACAAGAGGAGCAGAGACAGACTGTGACAGACAGGACAATGCACGGACAAAGGAGGAACAAGGAGACGGTGACTTTTTACAGACCCTTAACGAGACATGATGACAAACACCTGCGGTGATTGGAATGACAGACAGGTGTGATGAGAGCTGAACAACAAGGAAGAGAAACACAGTGGAGTGCAGGAGAACAAAAACACAGAAAACCCCACAGATTAAGGGTTTTCTGCTGCTTTTTTGTTTTTAGACTTGACTTTGATATTGTAAATTCCAACATGCTGTTATAATCAAGTATTGAGGTTCTTCATATCCAAGGCACATTTTTGTTCTGTTTTGATCTCACCTGACAAACAGGAGTTTTTCTCTTCACTTAGGGAAATGTTCTTTTGCTGCAGCTTGTCATTATGTGCCTATTACCTTTTACTCTACGTATGCTGTGGGGTCTGTTTTGGTTTTTTGCTGATCTTGAGAACGTTGTTAAGGCCAACTCACACTGTGGGATTTATAAAGACTTTAAATAACGTCACACTGTGAGATCATTATTATACATATTTTGATGGTAGCCTGTGTCACAGTGCAAGATTTATTAGACAACAAACTGAATATTTTTCATGCACGTCCATACAGTTATATAAATCCAATAGAGGGCGATCTGGTCATGTGACCTTGTGATTCACTGCAGCAACGGCGGCCATTAACAAAACGGCTAAACATTTGCATTTGACGTTTTGGTAGATATTGGCTAAAGAGCCCTGAATAAGACCTAACCATGTAAAAATGTAAAAAATAGAAATAAGATATATGTAATGTAAAAAATAAAATATTTGAATGTATATAGGCTGTAGAATGTTTATGAAAATGTAAAAATATTTTTATGGCTCAGTGGGTAGAGCTGTTGCCTCTCAGTGAGAAGGTCGCCAGTTCAAAGCCCGACTGGGAGCCTTTCTGGGTGGAGTTTGCATTTGCTCTCCGTGCTACGTGGATTTTCTCCGGGTACTCTGGTTTCCTCTCACAGACCAAAAACATGCATGTTAGACTGATTGGTAACTCTAAATTGTCTCTAGTTGTGAGTGGGAGAGTGAATGGCTGTTTGTCTCATTTGTCTCTGTGTCCCTGTGATGGACTGGAGACCTGTCCAGGGTGTCCCATGCCTCTCACACAATGACTGCTGGACATGAGCACCAGTGAGCTCCGTGACCTGAAAAGGAAGAAGTGGGTAAAGATGATGGATGGATGGATGGATAGAAATTCATTTGATTTGTGGACAGAGTTCTTCTTCAAATCAAATGAAGTGTTTATTTTTTTCTAACACAGAGCCCACTGGACGGGTCTTTACTGAACGACCAAAAAGTTCATGTCAACATAAACAACAACAACAAAATCCCAACACGTGATAAAATATATTGAATGTTTATTCGGCAGTCGTATGTTTGAGTCCTCACCTGAGTTGCATTGTTGCGTGACCAAAATGAGTTCCCCCCAAGAGAAACTGTGCTCCTTGCACTTAAAGACAGGTCCAAGGAGCTCAGCTGTTTAAGCCTTCATATTTGAAGGTGCCAGTCTGGATGGTTTGGGTTTAAAATATCTTGAGGGGCTTTACAGAACAGAGATCCATCAGACATGTTCCTGAGGTCTTGGAGGAGACCTAGAATCTGTTGTCTTTAGCCCGCTCTCTGTATTTTGACATTCTTCAGTCCAGTTCCACACCAGTTGACTCTCTCCATTCCCGGTTCTTACTCAGTTTATGAAACCACTTCATTCATGGCTCCAAATGACCCACTCCGAGCAGATTATTTTGATGTCAGCAGACTGTTGATTGTCCCGTGGAGGTAAGTCATTATGAAGGCAACTGGAAGAGCAGGAGGAGCCTGAAGATATTAAAATCTGAAGCTCTCTGTTGATCTTAGGACATGTTTGGACACACAGCACAAGGTGGACTGAGAGATTGGTGTTTTTGGACACACACAATTGTAAGTTCAGTCAGATTTGTCAGAGAAGTGCAGTCATTTTGTTCTGAGACTCTTCAACATTCCATTTTTTTTTTTTACCTGATGATCCATCCATCCATTATCTTTACCCCTTTCTTCCTTTTTGGGTCACAGAGGTCTCTGGTGGTCATATCCAGCAGTGAGTGTGCAAGAGGTGGGGGACACCCTGGACAGGTCTCCAGTCCATCACAGGGACACATACAGACAAACAAGACAAACAACCATTCACTCTCTCACTCACACCTAGAGACAATTTAGAGTTACCAATCAGCCTAACATGCATGTTTTTGGTCTGTGGGAGGAAACCAGAGTACCCAGAGAAAACCCACTCATGCACAGAGAGAACATGCAAACTCCACCCAGAAAGGAGCCTGTCCAGGATTTGATCGAGCGACCTTCTTACTGAGAGGGGGCAGCTCTACCAACTGCACCACCGTGCAAACCTGAATAATTTTCTCTGAAATTAAACCCATCTGTACACCTGTGATTTACAGATTTCCCTGAGTGTCCATCTGATTCATGTGTGTTTGTTCCACAGTCCTGTGGAAACATCTACAAAGGCTTGGCTCAGACGGGAGCATGGGGCTGCTTCGATGAGTTTAACCGGATCTCAGTGGAGGTTCTGTCTGTGGTGGCTGTGCTGGTAAGAACAAGTCCACCTTCTGCACTTTTAATTCCTCTCCAAATCAAAGGAAAACTTTCTAACCAGGGTATCAAGTTCTGAAATCAGATGAAAAAAATTTTTAATTGACAACTAAATCAAGTTGGGGTGGGGACAAACCTTTGCAAAACAGAACAGTGGAAATAAAAAGTCACAGTTTGCAGAGTAAATCACTTCAGACCAACAATTTTCAGTCAGGTCATCTGGACAGTTTCTTTCTTTTTTGGTGCTGAAACGTTTCACCTTCCATGCAGAAGGCTGAGCATGGACTTTGTTGGTTTTGAACCAGTTTGACATAACTGTCGACGAGGGAGAGGGCCGGCACCGGAGAAGGGGGCGTGCCAAAGAGACCATCTTAGCACCAACATAACTGATTTGTGTCACTTTAGAGTAAGCTGTTTGGGGGAAGAAGCAGTTTTGTTTTGTGTGTTTCCTTGACTGATGAAGCCTTCTGGATGGAAGGTGAAATGTTTCAGCAAAAAAAGAAACTGTCCAGATGACCTGACTGAAAATTGTTGGATTGTATACCTGGATTATTGAGCATGGACTTTGTTGGTTAAATCACTTCAGCTTTCAGACTAATCACCTTAAATCTCAAAGGACTTCTGTATAATTATATAAATATATAAAGTTTCTCTGATCTGAAAGTCGAGGATAGAAAACTATCTCTTGCCCCCTGTTGCACTGCTTTTGTTGCTCAGCATCTTTGAGCAACTACTTTACAACTCTGACTTCATGAGCTCCAGACTCTCAATGACACACACTAATTTGTGTTTTTATATGACACTACTTCTTACATACTCAAGTTAATTTAATGAAACTTCAAACACATTTGCATCATCACTAGACAGAATGTTGCGTATACAGTTCATTAACTAAGCTCAAAGGTCAAGGACACAAATCAAGGTCAAAGTTACTACAAGGTCGTTGCTTGTATGAATATTCACTTCTGACCTGAATATTTTCTGAATAACCTCTGACTTAATAGTTTAACAAAACTTGACACACATTTGTACTTCCACAAGACATTATTTTTCCACAAGATTTTCATCACACCACCTCCAAAGTCAAGGTCAAAAATCAAAGTCAATAGGTATACAAGGTATTTGCTTGTCCAGGCCATTGCTATAGATTGCTGTATTGCTGCATATATATAATATTGTAGATGGGCATATGGGGTACTATTGAAAAGTTTATGCTAAGATTTGGTTTTCAAATTAATTGTTTGTGTAGGTTTTATGACCTTATCTAAAAAATAATGATCCTGTTTTCTGACTAAATTGTAATCAGTCTCAAATCTTCCATTGTACTTTTCAATTGTTCAGCCAGATGTGTTCTCAATTAGATCAGTTTCAGTTTAAATTTACCAGTCAATAACGGGCTTAACTACAGTTTTAAGACAATCCATTTGGGTCTGTTGATGTTTTAAGTGCTGGGGACAGAGCTCTTCAAACAGATGCCATTCACGACCAGATTCAACACTTTTTTTGTCCTTCTTTCCTCCTATAAGTAGATGAAAGTCAGAAAGTGTTCCACTGTAAGCTGTGTAAGGTCACAGTACTTAGAGAATTTTAAAGTGCCAGAAGAATGAATAGGGATTGCAAGGTGTACTAAATAATGAATCACGGTTGGATCATACGTAGAGAAGCAGACCTTGAGAACAGAGGAACATCAAACTCCTGCAGTGACAGCTGGCAGCTCACTGTAGAAGTCAGTGAAGTCAATGTAAAACCATTTATTCTCTTAGCACATGCTCCTTATCCATCTTCTGAAAATGAGAGCAACTAGCATTGCATGGCAACACATTCAGCTGCTCCCTAGTAGAGGTGAGAGGACCACAGCTACAGAAAGTAAATTAAGACAAACAGAAGGTGTGATAGTATTATAACATGGTTCTTTTACAAACACAAACCAAACTGTTGATGCTTTCTGAGTATTTAAAGAGCTAAAGTTTTTGTTAGATTTAACAAGGTTGAGTCAGGTCCTCTGGACAGATTCTTCTTGTTGGAACGTTTGGTCTTTTATCCAAAAGACTTCTTCAGTCTGAGGAGCTGCAATAAACTCAGTCTTATAAATAGCACCTTATAGTGGATCAACCAGTTTGCTGCTGACATCCAGAACTAGCTGTTCACATGACAAAGGAGGACCATCAGCCTAACGACTGATGGTTAGTACCCTGATGGCTGTTTGCTATTCACAAGGAGCTCAGTGATACTAGCAATCACAGCATTGTAAGCGGGGGACAGTTGGACATGGAGGCCTCCACCCCTGTTTAATGATGGACAGTTTATCTTCACAAAGATGGCCTCCTTTACTCCTCTCTCAAACCATCATTCCTCTCTATCCAGGATGTGAACATCTTCATCCCTGAAAGAGTGACTGCTGGCCTGCAATTGAGTGTAGACCACAGAGTCCTGGCCTGATGACGTTGCTCTTCTGTACTGGGCCATCCTTTTGACCAGTAGCTGTTTAGTTTCCCCGATGTAAGACTGATCACAGCCCTCCTGACACTGAACTTATACACACTATTACTCTGTTTGTGCTGTGAGACTGGATCTTTGGGATGGACCAGTCTTTGTCGTAAAGTATTTTGGGGTTTGAAAGTCACTGGGATGCCACATTTTGTAGTGTAGTGTTCAAAATGTAGTGATGTAGCTGTTAGCTTCACTACTAATTAATTATTCTTAAAGCTAGTTCAAGCACAAAGAATATTAATTGTTCAATTACAACAGATTCTTTTCTTTATCGAGTTAAATTTCTGTTATGTGACCAAGATAACTTGTGAGTGGAGTGTTTAATCAGTGACATGAGACGACATTTTATCTTTGACCCATCAGAATAAATGCGGTCATTTATTTATCAGAATCAAAATTTAACATCAAAACATGTAAACATCGATTTGCTGATCTGTTTCTGAGTAATAAACTTGGCACGCTTTACTAAACAAGACAACAGAACATTGCTGATTAATACTGATTCATCTCTGAAGGCATCTAGCTTGATTTACTGGCGAATCGAGAAGCTTAAAGAGCAAGAATATATTTAAGGAGGAAGTTTAGATGGATGAAAGTTATGTGTTGAACCAGAACATGGCACCCTTCCTCCAACATCCAGCTCAGCCCTCCAGTACACTTCAGGGCGTCAATGGCTTGTTACCTGAGAGACACTTGGTACTTGGCACTTGGTTCTTATGGTCTGAATCTTCACCAGCTTATGGTGGTATCTACCATATGAGGTCCGATATGGGGTAGAGGCAGGGTAGCTGACCCGGGACCCGAAAGCCCCAGATTTGATCCCCAGACATTTCCACATGCCGTGGGGTCTCTGAGCAAGCCACCTAATCCCTAATTGCTCCCAGGGTGCTTACAAAGCTGCCCACTGCTCCACCTGGGTGCATCCCAGGTGTGATGGGTTAAATGAGAGAACTAATTTCACCATTGTATGGGAACATACAATGATGACAACACACAGCACTGATTATTATTATTATACTGCAATGTAAAGTAATGAGTATCATACATCCATCAATTATCTTTTACCCACTCCTTCCTTGGTTGAATCATCGGGGTCACTTGTGTCCATATCCATCTATCACTGTGTGTGAGATGGAGGACACCCTGGACAGGTCTCCAGTCCATCACAGGGACACCTGGACAGGTCTCCAGTGCATCACAGGGACATAGAGAAAAATGAGACAAAAAACCATTCACTCTCTCACTCACACCTAGGGACAATTTAGAGTTACCAATCAGACTAACATGCATGTTTTTGGTCTGTGGGAGGAAACTGGAGTACCTGGAGAAAACCCACGCAGCACGGAGAGAACATGCAAACTCCACCTAGAAATTGGTCCCCGGCTGGACTGGAATTGGCACAAAGAAGCTGAAATAGAACAAAAGCTGAAATGAGCAGTCAGTATTGGAAACAGCACAAAGTGTTTTAAGGACATGAATAGAGCTCCATTTATTTTCAATGAGAAAAACATGGCCGGCAAAGCTAAATATTTTAAAAAGTAGAACTTGCACAAATATGAAAAGTCACAATAGGAGTGTCCTGAATGAGCTGAATGTTTTGATCAAAGAACTGTTAAAACAACAAAAAATTGTAGAACGAGTTACGTACTGATAAAGGCAGGGATAAAAAAATCGATTTAATTGTGTGAATGATTCAGAAACGTTCACACAATAAAACATACACCTACTGACGCATCTTCTCTGTCTAAAATATGAACAGTACTGCCCTCAAAGACTATCTCTTACACATGAGATGCTGGATCAAACATGCTTGAACTTTTAAAGACAGTTTTTAATATTTCACTCCCTGTGTACAGCGAGGGCGCATTTCATTCAACAAAACAAGCATCATTGATGTTTTGATAGAAACCTTGTGTGTCTGTGTGTGTGTGCGTGGGTGTGTGTGTTTGTGCGCCCTCATTGTTTAGCATGACTGAGTGATCTGTAGCCGACTACTCATCCATGAAGAGATGTTCCTTTTCCTTCCAGCTGTCGACTCGCTCCGCTCTTCACCCCTCGCATGTTAAATTCATGACGCCTCTCTCAGGCAGGATTCAGAGTTTCAGACAGAGGCGTACAGCACTCCCACTGTTCATCCTGATAACTCATTTAATCACAACATAGACAAACTTGGTTATCCACCCATCTGTTACACCCTGCTTCATGGCATGTTTGTATCTGTGATGAAGTTTTGGCCCATTATGAAACATACAAAAGCAAATGGTGCGTGCTGCCTAACAATTTGACGGGGTGTTACAAACTGACGTGTTATGTGATATTAATGTTATGCTAAGTAAGAGCAGAGAGGAGTGAGTTGACAGTTTTAATATGATTTAAGCCAGCTTGGTTTCCTTTTCTAATGAGAAACGCTGATAGAGTGGTTGGTCCATAATTCTGGTTCAGTTTGATAGAGGGTTCTGTTCACACATTTATGGCCCCTCGGTGAGTTTCATAGTAGATTATTTTGTT